ACAAAATTTTCCTTTTACGGAAATTTCGTAAATGGTAAAAAATTAACGAATCGATTTCCGAAACAATAACGAATCGATTCGTTAATGGCGGACGCGACCGCGAAATACGCTAAAAAACCTCCAAAACCTTCTGAAGCTTCCCTCTCCCTCTGTTGTTGACTGTTGGTGTGATATTATAATTTTTTTTCACTAATTAAACCATAAAACTGGCCCAGACATGCGGAAATAATAACGAAACTACCTCAAAACAATAACGAAACGAATACAATATCGAAATACGAAGCATTTACAAAACGTTTTTGAAAATTCGTTTTTTTAAATAATTGCTCCAGAATGGTTTGTTATCGTTTTGTAATTGAAAAAATTAACGAATTATTAACGAATTACGAATTAACGAAACGAAACCGCCCAGCCCTATTAAATACCATTGAAACATCATCTTTATCCAGTTCTCCCTTAGGCTGTAGGAGTTGATCCATTTCAGTTTAGTCTTCCAAACCTTTTCCTTTTCCCATTCTGCTGTGTCAATAGTATGTCCCAGAATTTTTGCCATTATCTATGTGTAAACCGCTTTGAGTCCCCCGAGGGGTAAGAGAAGCAGTATATAAATATTGTAAATAAATAAATTATCCTTGGATTTTTTGTTGTTGAGAGCATCCCAATCCCTGCATATTTCCAATTCCCTATTCCTGGACTGCAATTCTCAGCAGATAGATAAGATCGATACAATTAGATAGAGAAAGATAGGTAGGTAGATAGACTGAGCATGAGGACTGCTGGGAGTTGCAATCCAAGAATAGGTAGAGAAGAAAGAAAGGGGAGAAAGGGGAAGAGAAAGAAAAGGGGGAAGAGAAGTAAGGAAGGAGAGAAGGAAAGAAAAAAGAGAAGGAAGGAGAGAAAGAAAGGAGGAGAAAAAGAGGGAGGGAAGGTTGGCCACAGCAACACGTGGCGGGTACAGCTAGTTACAGTATAATGGTATAGTACAATATAGTGATATATAATACTAATATTGTGCTATGGTAATAATATAATATAGGCATGTACAATCCATGGTTCTAAATGGTTCTAAAGTACTTACAAAACTAAAGTTCTGGTGGTGAAAACTAGGGGGGGGGCGCTGATGCTTTTCTTCTGCAGTGTTACTAAGTTCTGGTGGTGAAAATTTCAGAACTCTAATACAACTTTCCAAATTTCATTATTACTTCATTATTGGTGATTTTTATGACAGAAACTATTAGGAACTGCCATTTATAATGAAATTTTGAAAGTTGTGTTAGAGTTCTGAAAGTTTCACCCCCAGAACTTTAGCAACACTGCTTCTCAACCTTGCTAATGCCGTGACCCCTCCTGTTGTGGTGACCCCCAACCATAATATTGTTTTTGTTGCTACTTCATAACAGTCATTTTACTACTGTTATAAATCATAATAAAAATATCTGATATGCAGGGTGTATTTTCATTCACTGGACCAAACTGGGCACAAATACCCAATACACCCAAATGTGAATGCTAGTGGGGTTGGGGGAGGATTGATTTTGTAATTTGGGAGTTGTAGTTGCTGGGATTTATAGTTCACTTATAATCAAAGAGCATTCTGAACTCTACCAGCAATGGATTTGAACCAAACTTGGCTTCCATGACCAATGGAAAACACTGGAAGGGTTTGATGGGCATTGACCTTGAGTTTGGGAGTTGCAGTTCACCTATATCCAGAGAGCACTGTGGACTCATGCAATGGTGGATCTGGACCAAACTTGGCACAAATACTCAATATGCCCAAATGTGAACACTGGTGGAGTCTGGGGAAAATAGATCTTGACATTTGGGAGTTGTAGTTGCTGGGATTTATAGTTCATTACAATCAAAGAACATTTTGAACTCCACCAACGATAGAATTGGCTCAAACTTCCCACATGGAATCCCCATGACCATCAGAAAATACTGTGTTTTCTTATGGTCTTTGGCGACCCCTCTGACACCCCCTCGCGACCCCCTCGAGGGTCCCAACCCCCAGGTTGAGAAACACTGCTGTAGAAGCAAAGCACCAGCGCCCCCTAGTTTTCACCACCAGAACTTTAGTTTTGTAAGTACTTTAGAACCCAGTTCTTGTGGGTTTTTTCGGGCCATATGGCCATGTTCTAGAGGCATTTCTACTGACATTTCGCCTGCATCTATGGCAAGCATCCTCAGAGGTAGTGATGTAGCGATTCAACTTCATAGAATTTGAAGGCCTGGCTGAGCCTGGGAAATCTTTTGTTGAGAGGTGTTTACTGTTGTTTACTCTCTGTTGTTTTGCTGTTGTAATTTTAGAGTTTTTTTTTAATACTGGTAGCCAGATTTTGTTCATTTTCATGGTTTCTTCCTTTTTGTTGAAATTTCCACATGCTTGTGGATTTCAGTGGCTTCTCTGTGTAGTCTGACATGGTAGCTGTTAAAGTGGTCTAGCATCTCTGTCTTCTCAAATAACATCCTTTGTCCAGGTGCGTTCATCAGGTGCTCTGCTATGGCTGACTTCTTGGGTTGAATTAGTCTGCAGTGCCTTTCATGTCCCTTGATTCGTGTTTGGACAATGCTGCATTTGGTGGTCCCTATGTAGACTTGTCCACAGCTGCATGGTATACGGTAGACTCCTGCAGAGGTGAGGGGATCCCTCTTGTCCTTTGCTGAACATAGCATTTGTTGGATTTTCTTAGGGTCTGTAGTTTGTATGTTGTGTTTCCTCATCAGCTTCCCTATGCGGTCAGTGGTTCCCTTGATGTATGGCAAGAACACTTTTCCTCTGGGTGGATCTTCATCTTTACTCTCGTGTCTTGTTCTTGGTCTTGCAGCTCTTCTGATGTCTGAGGTGGAGTATCCATTGGCCTGGATGCTTGCCATAGATGCAGGCGAAACGTCAGGAGAAATGCCTCTAGAACATGGCTCTATAGCCCGAAAAAACCTACAAGAACCTAACTTTGGAACCATTTAGAACCATGGATTGCACATGCCTAGTATTTACATATTACTTGTAAGCTGCTCTGAGTCCCCTTCGGGGTGAGAAGAGCGGGATATAAATGTAGTAAATAAATGAATACAGAGAGAATTTGCTTCCCCCCATGGGTTGCCATAGATTCACTATGAAAATCTTGGGAGATAAAATTAAGCTCACAACAGTAAATCGCTGGAGACGAGTGTTTTCTTCCTTCTCTCCACGATCCTAAAAAGACAGTTCTAAAGTTTCCCCGCTGAAACCTCCTGTATAGCTCTGCTCCAACTCCCATCTGCCCCCTAGTGGGCAAACACTGTGCCCGCAGTCTGTGAATTACAGTTTCAATTTCCCTCTCAAAATAGATGCCTTATCTACATTACCTTTCCCAACTGTACCCAGCCTCCCCTCTTCACCACCTTTCTTTATGGCAGACAACAGAAGCAGCCAGTTCCAGGCTGATACGGCGATCCTGACAGGTAATGGGTGGAAACTCTTTTTGATCGCCAAAAGATACTGTCCAGCGTACCTGTCCGAACGTATCTCCCTCTACGTCCCACCTCGGAGTTTAAGATCTGCTGGGGCGGCCCTGCTCTCGGCCCCACCTTTCTCACAAGCGAGACTGGTGGGGACGAGGGACGGGCCTTTTCGGTGGTGGCCCCTCGCCTGTGGAATGCACTTCCCAGGGAAATTAGGTCATCAACATCCCTCTTCTCTTTCAGAATGAAGCTAAAAACCTGGATGTAGGACCAGGCCTTCGGGTAAGCTGGCAGATGGACAAAGACAACCAATGACGACCAGAGTAGGAAAGGATAATGACGATGCTGGATGGATTACGGACTATGAATTGGCGAACATTGACCACAAGATGATTTTATTGCTGCTAGTATATTGTTTGACTGTTTTAATTACACTGTTCAACGGAGAAAAAGTTGCGGGCCTGAAAATAGTTGTTCTTTTATGATTTTGGGGTGCTGAAAACGAAAATGACATTTAAAAATGTATATTGGCTCTAGTTTTTATGATATAAGCAATCACGTGATCACGTATGGTTGAAAAAATGCATGTTGCGACTTACACTATGGAAGATTCTAGAATATTCTAGAAAGTTTGATGACGCAGTATTAGTGCCGTGTGCAAAAACCAGAAAGCCCTATATAAGGTCAGACTTTTGAACGGTGAGGGTCAGTCAGTTGAAGACTGAGACAGTATCGTTAAATATCATTTCACATTGTTCTTTTTACTGTAATTATGCCTCGCACGTGTGTAAATAAAGCAGATAATTTCTGCTATGTTTGCGGTGAAGTTACTTTTGAATCACAAAAGAGACGAATAACAGCAGTGATTAGGAAAGCCTACAAATTGTGGGGCAGTGAGCGACAAGCATGGTGAGCGTTTCCATCAACAAGTTGCCACGATGGAAAAAAGAGATCAAGGCCAATGGACTCCGTCCATGCTGTCAGACTCCTGCTGGAGCATTGCAAGAGGGAATCCTTTCCTTGAATACCAAAGAAAAGTCAAGAGAAGCAATCCTAAAGTCACAATTAAAGCGACATTTAAACTTTCAGACTTTTCAACTGCATTAGGCCTACGAATAGAGTTTCTTGCTGCACAAACATAAACAATAGACTAATTAAATAAATATTTCTCATGTATAAACTATTGGCAATATAATTTGACTAAAATTTAGTAAATATTCACGGTTTATATACACGCAGCAAGGTTAGGCGCATTATCATAACATTAACGAATTACCTATTGTGGAGAAAATGGAAATAGCTGTTGCATAAAAACCAGAGCCAATTAACACATTTAATTATTAAGAAACGGCACATTTTGTTTCCGCAACTGAGAAAAACCGAAAATTTGTAGAACAGTGTTAGTTATAATTGTTGATATTATATGGTAAATTTGTGTTTTGTATACGGTATATTGTACTGTATTTTGTGAATTGTTAGGCATCGAATTGTGCCTCTTGTAAGCCGCCCTGAGTCCCCCCTCGGGGGTTGAGAAGGGCGGGGTAGAAGCACTCCAAATAAATAAATAATAAACAAATATAAGCAAGCCATACCTGGAGAAAGGAGCAGGGGGTCCCCATGGTCACATCCAGAGTGACTCTGCCCAGAACGAGTTGCACTTTCCCCGATTTGCGGATCAGCAGCTTCCCCACTTGCCCTTCAGACAGGTCCCCCAAAGTGCAGGTGTTCTCTGCTTCCTTGGCTTCCTGAAAGCACACCCAGAGAAGGGAAAGGTGACTATTTCCAGGAACCAATTTTGCAATTTTACTAGCTGTTTGAAATCGTGGGAGTTGAAGTCCAAAATGCCCAAAGGGCCAAAGTTTGCATTTGCCTGTCCTAGAGTCTCTGCTAGCATATGGCCAAAGCTGTTTGCACTCATTTGCTTTCAAGAAGTAGAGTTAAACCAAAATTTTCCCTGGAGCAGACAAGAAGATCCCATAAAGGCTACTACGTAAGAAAAATTCCACAACTTTGAATTCATCGGCATATTTTATTCTGATAATTCAGGCATAACTACACTGGAAAAAAGGCATCACCCAGCAGAAGCCATCACTGAACCTGGCTTCTGCTGGGTTTCAAATCGTGGTCGGCATTCTCTCTAGTGTAGCTCTGCACTAATAAGGACTACTGACTTTTAAGAATTGCCGTGTTTACTCGAGTATAAGCCGTGTTTTTCAGCCCTTTTCTAAGGCTGAAAAAGCCTCCCTCGGTTTATACTCAAGTCAAAGTTATTTATTATTTTACTCTGTTATTATTATTATTATATTTATTATTTTACTCTTTTATTATTACATTTAAATTATTTTACTCTATTAGGAAAACATTTAAATTATTTTATTCTATTATTATTACTATAATTTCATTTATTGTTTGACTCTATTATTATTACATTTATTATTTTATTCTATTATTACTGTCACTATTACATTTCCATTATTTTACTCTATTATTATTTTTGTTACATCTATTATTTTACTCTCTTTATTGTTATTGGAAGGGTATGTAAGCACATTTACACTGAAGACAGTTAGGATAATGGTTTAATCAGACTTGGACAGTCTTATCTTGGACAGTATTATTATTATATTTATTATTTTACTCTATTATTATTTTTATTGCATCTATTATTTTACTCTCTTTATTGTTATTGGAAGGGTACATACACACATTTACATTGAAGACGGTTAGGATAATGGTTTAATCAGACTTGGGCAGTCTTATCTTGGACAGTATTATTATTATATTTATTATTTTACTCTATTATTATTTTTGTTACATCTATTATTTACTCTCTTTATTGTTATTGGAAGGGTACATACACACATTTACATTGAAGACGGTTAGGATAATGGTTTAATCAGACTTGGGCAGTCTTATCTTGGACAGTATTATTATTATATTTATTATTTTACTCTATTCATTATTATTATTACATTTATTATTTTATTTTATTATTGGAAGGATACGTAAGCACATTTACATAGAAGGTTAGAATAATGGTTTAATCAGAATTGGACAGTCTTATCTTGGACAGTATTATTATTATATTTATTATTTTACTCTATTATTATTTTTGTTACATCTATTATTTTACTCTCTTTATTGTTATTGGAAGGGTACATACACACATTTACATTGAAGACGGTTAGGATAATGGTTTAATCAGACTTGGGCAGTCTTATCTTGGACAGTATTATTATTATATTTATTATTTTACTCTATTATTATTTTTGTTACATCTATTATTTTACTCTCTTTATTGTTATTGGAAGGGTACATACACACATTTACATTGAAGACGGTTAGGATAATGGTTTAATCAGACTTGGACAGTCTTATCTTGGACAGTATTATTATTATATTTATTATTTTACTCTATTATTATTTTTATTGCATCTATTATTTTACTCTCTTTATTGTTATTGGAAGGGTACATAAACACATTTGCACTGAAGACAGTTAGGATAATGGTTTAATCAGACTTGGACAGTCTTATCTTGGACCGTATTATTATTATATTTATTATTTTACTCTATTTATTATTATTATTACATTTATTATTTTACTCTATTACTACTGTTATTATTACATTTCCATTATATTACTCTATTATTATTTTTATTGCATAAAACACATTTACATTGAAGACGGTTAGGATAATGGTTTAATCAGAATTGGACAGTCTTATCTTAAATTACAGTTTTATGTAAATACTAGCCATCCCCCGCCACGCGTTGCTGTGGTCCAGTCTGTGTATATTTTTTTTGTGTTTGTATATGTGTATATATATATATATATTTGTGTATATATATGTGTGTTTGCGTATAGTATATATTAGGCTTGGTTGATCCAGTTCGTTAATTTCGTATCTTGTTATTAATTCGTTAAATAATTACCTTTAGAAGCGATATCGACACGTTTTGGCAACCCGGAAGTGTTTTTGCCATATCGAAGCCGCATCCGCCATCTTCCTTACGACTTCCGCCAGTGAATCGTAAATGCTGGGGGCGTGGCCTTCAGGAACAGCTGTTCTTACCCACGCCCACCTCCTTCCTCTTTGCATCGGTGGCTTTGTGAGGTGGGCGTGGCTACCTCCCTGGCGACAAGCGGCGATGCAGAAGAGCTGGGCGTAGCCACGCCCACCTCGCAAAGCCGCCGATACAAAGAGGAAGGAGGTGGGCGTGGCCAAGCACAGCCCTCCTTGGAGGCCTCGCCCCCAGCGACCTCCGAGGAGCGCTGTGCTTGGCCATACCCACCTCTCCCTTGGACAGCTTGCCAGGGAAGAGAAAGAAAGGTGAGAGATTTGGCCACGCCCACCTCTCCCTTCTGCATGGAAGCTCTCCGCAAGGGAAGGAAAACTGCGAGATTTTAATGGTTCTGGAGGGAGGGAAGGGCACCTTCCATTAACGAAACAAAGGAAACAATTCGTATTTCCTGGTATTTTCGATCTTTTTTAAAAGAAAATTTTGGAAATGATTTAAAAATCGAACCTCCAGCGCCCCCTACATACGGAACGAGTTTAGAACCATTTTTTTTCTTGATCAACCAAGCCTAGTATATATATGTAGTTTTGCGCATCATTACAATGTAATTTTTTTGCTTTTTTTTTTTGCTTTTAAAGTCTCTTCTGCTATGTTTTTATGAGTGATGGTCACTCATTGGCCTGATAAGTGCACTGCATCCAAATTTGGTGTCAATTCGTCCAGTGGTTTTTGAGTTATGTTAATCCCACAAACGAACATTACATTTTTATTTATATAGATTCAAAAACATTTAACGTACCGATGCCTCAATTAATGTAATTTTATTGCTATCTATTTTTATTTTGAAATTAATTAGTAGCTGCTGCATTTCCCACTCTTGGCTTATACTCGAGTCAAGACGTTCTCCCAATTAGGTGCCTCGGCTTATTTATTTATTTATTTACAGCATTTATATACCACTTTTCTCACCCCTGGGGGACTCAAAGTGGTTCATATTTGGCTTATATTTGGGTCAAAGGTAAAATACAAGAGGGAAGTCTTGCAGAATTACAGCAGGCAGTTCTGCATTCCTGCTGCATTCCTGTTTTTCTATTTGTGGTGTTTAGATTGGGAAAGCATGCCACTAAAATCCTATCCATCCTGTTTGAACGTTAGGAATGCCTTCCTGGCGGTAAGAGCTGATCAGCAGTGGGAGACATTCCCCAGGTGTCTGGGAGAGTCTCCTTCTCTGGACTGGCTGGCCCTTGGGGTCTCTCTGTGGCTCTATGACTTCCTACTCCAGCATCCCATCCGTACCTGGCTCTTTTCCTGCTTGATCACCATCATCTGCCCGTCCTCGTTCGGCACCTCTGTCTTGATGGGCTTGGAGTCCTGGGTGGGCGGCTGCCCTGGGAGCGTATCCGGCAGCTGCAGGAAGAGCAGCTCGTCCTCCTTGCAGAGGCTCAGCCCGTGCAGCAGCTCCGCCACTGACACATCCTGCGGAAAGGGAGGAGGAGGAGGCGCCTTTGCAGGAGTTGATCTGAGCGCAGACGGGGACTCCTCTTCATCCTGGGGCTCCTCTTTCACTAAAAGGAGGCCAAAGAGAGGCAAGATCATACAGCTGGCAAGGACTATATGCTCTGTAACAGGCGTGGGCAAACTTTGGCCCTCCAGTTGTTTTGGACTTCAACTCCCACAACTCCTAACCGACGGCAGCCATTGTCTTATAGAATCACAGAATCCTAGAATCCAAGAGTTGGAAGAGACCTCCTGGGCCATCATCCAGTCCAACCCCATTCTGCCAAGAAGCAGGAATATTGCATTCAAAGCACCCCTGACAGATTATTATTATTATATTATAATTATTATAACTTTATTTGTACCCCGCTAGCATCTCCCAAGGGATTCGATGCGGCTTACAACGGGCCGAGGCCCACACAATACAACAATACAACAATACAGTATCTTAGCAAATAAAAACAGTAAGCAAAATAATAAAACAAAAGCCGGCTGGTTTACCACAAAGCCATTATTTAAATAAACGGAGCTGGCAGAAGAGTAGGGGTCGTACCAGGATTTAAAAGTGCTGATGTGAATCGAGAACACGATCACAGGGATTGGGATTAATTATAAGTATTAAGTGCGCTCTTGTACCCTACGGTGCCGCTTGGTGTATCCGGTCTCTAACTAAATGGCTTCTGGGGATTTTGGCTCTAATGGTGGTCCTAGTCTGAAAAGGCACATTGGAACAGCCAGGTTTTCAAATTCTTTCTGAAGACTGCCAATGTAGGGGCTTGTCTGAGGTCTTTTGGGAGGGCATTCCAGAGGCGGGGGGCACCACAGAGAAGGCCCTGTCTCGTGTCCCCACCAAGCGCGCTTGTGACGCGGGCGGGATCACGAGCAGGGTCTCTCCAGATGACCGGAGTGAACGTGTGGGTTCGTAGACAACGATACGGTCACGCAGGTAGGGTGGTCCCAAACCGTTCAGGGCTTTGTAGGTAAGCACCTGCACCTTAAATTGGGCTCGGAAAATAAACGGCAGATGGCCATCCAGCCTCCGTTTCAAAGCTTCCAAAGAAGGAGCCTCCACCACACTCCGGGGCAGAGAGTTCCACTGCTGAACGGCTCTCACAGTCAGGAAGTTCTTCCTCATGTTCAGGTGGAATCTCCTTTCTTATACAGGTAGTCCCCAAGTTACAGCCATTCGACTTACAAACAACACACGGTTAAGAACAGGAGGGTGAGACAACAGGAAGTGAGATAAAAATCTGTTCCTTGAAATGGAAATTCACTCCTGGAAGAATTATTATTATGGGGAAAATGTGTTTCCAATGAAGCTGTATCTCCAATCATTGTTTCCACAACAAGCCACATTTTTCAAAAACAATTTTTAAAAGAATTTATTTGAGTAAAAAATTACAGTTCTATAGACCTATACTATGCATTTCTCCTCCTTTTTTTTACATTCACCCCTGTGCTCCCCTTCCTTCTCCTGAGTCACAGCTTCTTCTAAAGTCAAACCAAAAGTTCAATTCTTCATTTGGAGGTAAATTCCCATCTTCTTTTCCCCATACTTTTTCTAGAAATTTTCTCCAAATACTTTCAAAGTCATTTTTTTACATAATCCCTTCTTTACTTTTAAGTTCGATGTTAGCTTATCGTTCAGTGCCATTTTCCAGACTTCTTTACACCATTCATTAATCTGCATTTTCATTTCCCCTTTCCGATATTTTGCAATTAATAATCTAGTGGCTGGTAATAGCATGTCTATTAATTTTTTCCCTCTTATCTTTCCCATCCTCTTTTTTTTAATTAAAAGTAGTATTTATACTGGATTCCTCCTAATTTTTATATCCATAATATTTTCTATTTCCCTTATACCCAATTCCCAAAAATCTTTTACATATTTGCAATCCCACCACATATGCATGTAGGTTCCAATTTCTTGGCACCCTCGACCAACATTTTTTTTATTATTGTTCTTATTTATTTTTTAAAAAATATTTATTATTATTTTATTTTAATAATAATAGTAATAATAATTTAAAATATTGTTCTTATTTATAAGGTTTAACTTTCTTGGTGTAAAATACCATTTCCGAATTAATTTATAATCATTTTATTTTATTCTAATACACATGTTTTTAATTGTCTTGCTTTCCATATCTCTTCCCAATCAAAAACCAATTTTCAAGGGACGGAAAGTGAGGGGAATGTCAGAAACATTAAAAATTAACTGGGCATTTTTGACTACAAAAGTGTGAAAGAGTTAGTGGACTGAAGTGTCAGTGGGCCAAAGCTAGTCTCATCCTGAGGACAGTGAGTGGGCCTGTTAGTGTTAGTTTGCCTCAGTGAGGAAATTCCTCAGTCTGTGTGAGGCTTCTCTGTGAGGTAGGCCTTAGTCTATGGGAAAACCGAGTGTGAGAAGGCCTGGTTTGAGAAGCTCCGGTGAGAGAAGCCCCAAGTTGAAGGCCATCAGGTGTGAAGCTCCAGTGTGAAGGCTGCTGTGTGTAAAAAGCTACTGGGTGAAGCTCCAGTGTATGTTTGTTGTGAGAGGAGGCTCTGTGAGAGCAAAGCTGTTTATCTGCATGAGGAAGAAGCTCAGCGTGGAAGCAAAGAAGGAAGTATAAAGAACTTCATTCGCGTTATGGAAACCTTGTTATTGTAAATTAGTTGTACCCGCCACGTGTTGCTGTGGCCAATCTTCCCTCCCTCCCTCTTTCTTTCTTTCCTTTTTTTCTCTTGTTCCTTCTCACCTTCCTTCCTTCTCTACCTCTTTCCTTCCTTCCCCTCCCTTTTTCTTTCTCTCCTTTCTTCCCTATCTATTCTTGGACTGCAACTCCCAGCAATCCTTCTGATTTATCTATCTACCTACTATCTATCTAATGCATGTATCTTATCTCTGGAGGCTCAAACCCAGGTTCAAACCCAGCACCTCAATCCGTGGGTGATACCAGATGAGAGACTCCCCCCTGGGCACACAGAAGAAGACGGGGCGACTTGGAAGGTGCTGAACAGACTGCGCTCTGGCACCACGAGATGCAGAGCCAACCTCAAGAAATGGAGCCACAAAGTGGAGTCCATGACGTACGAGTGTGGAGAGGAGCAAACCACTGACCACTAGCTGCAATGCACCCTGAGCCCAGCCACATGATGCACAAGGGAGGACCTCCTTGCGGCAACACCAGAGGCACTCCAAGGGGATAGAGACTGGGCAAAGGACATTTAATCCACTATACCAAGCTTGCAAATTCTGTGTCTTTTGTATGTTTGTTTGTTTGTTTGTTTTGTTAAAAATGTAATACAACTGTCTTGTTGCTCCTGACACGATAAATAAATAAATAAATAAATAAATCTGGAGGATTGCTGGGAGTTGCAGTCCAGGAATAGGAAGTTGGAAATATGTACAGATTGGGATGTTCTCAAAGAAATCCAAGGAGAATAAAGCTTGCAGCTTGGAAGGCAGTGCATTTGGAGCATCCTCCTCCCATAAAGGTCCTGGTCTAGGGGATGATGGGAGCTGCTGTTTTTGTGCATGCGTTGTATCTTCATTTAGCTTTTTTGGGTTGTAAAGTCCTTTCTGCTGTTTTTTTGGAGGTGTTTATGAGTGATGGTTACTTGTTGGTCTGTTCGGGGTATAGTGTCCAAATTGGTGTCAATTCTCCAGTGGTTTTTGAGTTATGTTGATCCCACAAACGAACATTACATTTTTATTTATATAGATAATAATAATAATAATAATAATAATAATAACAACAACACTTTATTTGTACCCGCTACCATCTCCCCAAGGGACTCGGTGCAGCTTACATGAGGCCGAGCCCAAACACAACAATACAAGCCATAATAACAACAATACAGCAGTTAAAATAAAAACATAGACTGTAAAAATACCACATATAGATAGTGCAACCATATTATTTTGCTATAAAGAAAGCCTCCTATGGAGGAGATAACACTGGTCTGTGTGTTTTTGTCTTGTCTTGTCTCCTGATATGCCATCAGCTGGAGACCCCTCCCCACAGCACCAACTGTCACTCTGGGCCAGAGTGAAGGGGGGGGGGCACGGGACAGTTCCACCTTGTCTCCTGTGCTATTCTAATAATATAATATAATATAATATAATATATTGTATATACATATAATAGTTATAATATTATAAAGTAACACAATAAAATAATAATAATAATAATAATATGATATTATAATTATATATTTACACTAGCCGTCCCCTGCAACGTGTTGCTATGGCTCTCATGGGGGTTCTGTGTGGGAGGGTTGTATTCCATTTCTATCATTGGTGGGGTTCGGAATGCTCTGTGATTGTAGGTGAACTATAAATCCCAGCAAGTACAACTCCCAAATGTCAAGATTCTATGTTTCCCAAACTCCACCAGTGTTCACATTTGGACATATTGAGTATTTGTGTAGAGTTTGGGTCCAGATCCATCATTGTTTGAGTCCACAGTGATGTAGGTGAACTACAACTCCGAAAGCAAAGGACACTGCCCACCAAACCCTTCCAGTATTTTCTGTTGGTCATGGGAGTTCTGTGTGCCAAGTTTGGTTCAATTCCATTGTTGGTGGGGTTCAGAATGCTCTTCGATTGTAGGTGAACTATAAATCCCAGCATCGACAACTCCCAAATGACAAAATTAATTTTTTTTTGAGTGAAGGACATACATTGGGTTGTTAGATGTCTTGTGTCCAAATTTGGTGTCAATTCGTCCAGTGGTTTTTGAGTTCTGTTAATCCCACAAACGAACATGACATTTTTATTTATATAGATTACTTGTAATCACAAGTTTTGTATTTGTCTGTTTGTTTGCTTTGTTCTGTTAGAAATGTAATATAATGGACTGGTTGCTCTGACACGACAAATAAATAAATACTTGTAATATTAGTAATAATATTACGATATAGTGGTATGGTGCAATATAGCAATGTTTAATGCTGATATTGTCCTCTGCTAATGATATTATATTTTGTATGGAATATATTACCTTGTAAGCCGCTCTGAGTCCCCTTCGGGGAGAGAAGGGCGGCATATAAATGTCGTAAATAAATAATTTGTTGTTCTTTTTATCTCTTTGGGCTACTGGTGCTGGGCCACGCTGCTAATAAGTTGTTTGAGGTAGATGTAGAAGTGGAGGACTCGAAACATTTTTTCTTAAAATGTCCCTACTACCACA